ATGCCGTGAGCGGCCGTCCAGTGGCCAGCGACCGATCTGCCTCAATGGGAAGAGCACAATGATAATACCAACATGGGCCAGTGAAGCGACATCCTCCACAACTAGACTAGAGAACAAAAGGACAGCAACTTGTCTGTTCCCCTTCCCCAATTCCCCAACACTGTTCTCTCCCCCAATTCTTCAATAAAATCTTTAAAAAAAAATAGAAAGGAAACCTCAAAATGGCCTATATAATAGGGGATTAATTATATCCTATAACTCACAGTCCCAAGCCATCTGGGGTCAGTTAATTCAGTAAGTTAATAACAGAGCTCAGGTGATTTCCATCTTCCTACTTTGTCATCCCTTGTGTGTGGGCTCCCTTCTGGTTATAAGATGGCTTCAGCTGTGTCAGGTACCACATTCTCACATACTAACATCTAGAGCAGAAAAGGGACAATTTATTTGTCAGTTTTGTTGTTGTTGTTTTAATGAATAAAATGCCCCTAGTGACCTATGCTCATCCTTCATTGGCCAGAAGTAACATGACAATCCTTAAACCAATCATAGCAAAGGGAAGAGGGCTATTATAATCAATTTAGTACAATCTAGTCTAACTTGTGGCATGGAAAAAGGGAAAATAGCTATTGTACAGGCCAGTGATCCTCAAACTGTTTAGTCTCATGCCCTCTTAAAAATTATTGAAGATTACAAAGAGCTTTTGTTTATGTGGGCAGTAGTTTACTGATGATTGATGTATCAGAAATTTAATCTCTAAAATTTAAAAGTAGTTATTAATTCATTTAAAATGAATTTTTTACTATTTGTTACTGTTCTGTGGATAGGCCGAATGATGGCCCCTGATAAAAATGGCCCACATCTTAATCCCTGGAACATATGAATATGTTGCAGATGTGATTAAGGATTTTGAAATTGGTAGATTATCTTGGATTATCTAGATTGGCCCAATGTAATCACAAGGATAGTTATAATGGAAAGAGGAGGCAGTATCAATGTGATGTAGTATAAGAAAGACACGTTTGGCTCTTACAGGCTTTAAAGATGGAAGGGACCACTAGCCAAAGAATGTGGGTGGCCTCTAGAAGCTGGAAAAATTGAGGGAATGAGTTCTTCTGTAGGGTCGCCCGAAAGGAAAACAGATCTGCAGACTCCTTGGTTTCATCTTAGTGAAACCCATTTCGGACTTCTGAACTCCAGAAATATAAGACATTTGTGTTGTTTTAAGGCACTAAACTTGTGATAATTTGTTACAGCAACAGTAGGAATTGAATATATACACATTTTTAAATGAAAAGAACAACAATATTTTGTAAAGCAAAAAAATAAGACAAATGTCATTTGCTTTTATTTTGGCAAATTACTTCAACATCTGATACAAGACAGGTGGATTTTTGTATCTGCTTGTACATTCAGTCTGTTGTGATATCACATGTCACATTATCTGTGGAAAACTGTTGTACATTCATGAAAGAATGTGAGAAAGGAAATAATTTCTGTTTTATAATAAAAATGTTTTTGACCTCATAGCCCTCCTAAACGGATCTTGAGGACTCAGGGGGGTGCCCAGGCCACACTTTGAGGCTCTCTGGTGCAGGAAGTCAACAGTTTTTGCTCCATCCCCCCAAAAACAGATATGGAAATCTTTTTTTCCCCATATTTCTAGAGTGAACTTGTCTGGCTCTAAGGTCATCATCAACATAATGTAATGATTTTCGCAGTTCTTCCTTAATTCAAACAATAATTCTAAGAGTTTATTTTGTGCCTGGCACTTCATTATAGGCTGATGCTATATAAGCAAACAAGGTATATACAGACAGTTCTTGCCTCTATGAAGCTTACATTTTAGTTGAAGAAAAACAATAAGCACATTAATAAGACAATTTCAGATATTGCTAAGGGGTATGAAGAAAAGAAGTAGTGGTAAGCAAGTGTGAGGGGTGTTTCAGGTGGTGTCCAAAGAGCTACTTTAAAGTCTGAAGAAGAAGTTAGAGCTCAGATGTGACTGATAAGAAGAAACCATTGGAAAATGTTGGAGAATATTCCAGGTAGAGGGAACAGCAGGGCAAAGAGCAGGAAGGAGCATAGCAAGGTAGAACAGAAAGAAAGCCAATGTGACTTTTAGTGTAGTCCACGAGGAGAATGAAAAATGGAAAAGCAAGAGTTGAAAGAGTTAGGCAGGTATAAATCATTACGGGCTTGCAGGACACAAAAAAGACTTAAGGTTTTATTCCCATTGCCATGCAAAACCACTGGAGGCAATAAGAGATTGTGAAATTATCTTATATGCTAGGCTTTGCCTCTGTAAATTCTTCCACCTTCTCCAAGGGCTGCTCTTCAGCCCAACACCTTCCCCATCTTTATAATGATGACTCTCCAGAAATGCACCGGACCCCGAAAAGACACATCTTGCCTCACATAAATTGTTTGTATGCTAACATCAAAAAAACAGACAGATCTGGAACCAATCAGGCAAATGTAAATTACAGGTTGCTTGATGTGGAATAACTTCTGCTCGTTGGCTAGTGTAGGTGTACAGCCAAAAGTGCACTGTGTGAATACAATTGTTTGGCAATAGCTGGTCTGTCACTTGTCCAGAGCGGTAAGTGTGTGAATGGATTTGTACGGGTAATGACTCTGAAATTAGCTCTTCTCATCTCTCTGTGATACAGGAAAACACATTGGAACTTGGCTCATTTCTGGAGAATTCTTGTGATGATCCTCAGTTGCTCAGAATGCACATTTGGTCATCATTATCCCTTGTGTAATCAGTTTCTACAAACTATAGGATGATGTTACAGTGATGTTTACAGAATAAAAGAACACGCTCCACACCTTAATCAAATAACTTAAAGATGAGCCTTCTTAGATAACATGCATTTATATACATGGGTAGTCATTAGATATCTGGTCTATACTTTGATTTATAGTATAGTGAGAGAAGTAATCTGTTTCCCCACAGAGACCTCCAGATGAACCATGTGCCTAGAACTCTTAAGGTATTCACCATAAATAATATGGTAGAAGTGTTTACCAGACAAACCTTTCTACAACAAGATGATGGAGTCCACAAATGCAGAAGTGACTTGAAACCTGCTTTGCAAGGGCCTACAAACCGTCAGGAATTTGGATCCAATCAGTGCACCGAACTGAACTGCAGGTGAGATGGCCCCATTGTTAAAAAGCTGGATCCACGTGAATCAGAAGCCTAATCACATTTTCAGAACAGCTGTGGCTACTTGGGCCCTCGTCTCCTCAGTCATAGCTCCCGAAATTTTCTTTTAAATTATTGTGAAAATTCGTATTCCACTGACGACTAGCTTGTGCATCCAAGAAAATAAAACTACGTAATTCCAGGGCTGCATATTTTCAAAGGAATTGAATCCTGACCTCTGAATGCCATTAAGCAGTTTCTCTCCCTCTCCTTCGGAGAGAGAAAGGAAAAAGGATGATTTTTTTTTTCTTTCCAGTAGTAACCGGTAACCAAACCTGTTGTTCTGCCAAGCAAGACTTCGCCTTGGCGGATTCTGATTTCTAAGTGCTGAGGGAGTATGCTTGAAACCTGTGCCTTCCTCCCATGTCAGATAAGCAGAAAGTTTGCTCTAGCTATGATAAATCTGCACAACGCAGAGATGTTTTTGGCACAAAGCGTCCGTTAGAAAGAAGATGATTAAACTCGTCACCCCCCTCCGCCCCCTCTCCCAACCTCACCGCCTTTTGCGGCCAAGGAGTGTGTTTTGCCTGCATTTAAGAAATGTCCTTCAGCTGCAGGCGTGTGAGCGCGGAGCCTGCAGCCTCCGTTTTCGCGTCTCCGGGGCAGGGCGACTCGGGTCGGCTGAGTGTCACCCACAGATGTGAC